GCCTTCACTCCCCACGTGCATAAATGAGCCTTGGCCACCCATGACCCTGTCTCCGGTTCTTTTTCTCCATGGAACACTTTCGATAGGTACTGACCACTGCAGACCAGGAACAACCAACAAGAGCTGCAGTTTTAGAGATGCTGTGACCCAGTCGTCTAGCCATCAACATTTGGCCCTTCTCAATATCGCTCAAATCCTCACGCTGCCCATTTTTCCTGCTTCTAACACATAAACGTTCAGGACAAAATGTTCACCTGCTGCCTAATATATCCCACCCACTGATAACCAGTGTGTTATTCACTTCACCTGTCAGTGCTCATAATGTTATGGTTGATCAGTGTATATTGATCCAAAAGTAGGCTTACATTTTAAATAAACTCTAAGACTATTGTTAAACTAGTCTTTATAGCTCCCATTGTGTATTTTATTACAACCCAACCCAGTTTACAGCATGATTTTATTTGTTTCTTAAGGTGCTATTTTAATACTTAACTACCACTTAGTTGCCTTCTTCCGGCTTTCTTTAACTACATTTATTTCTTATTCACTTCCTTGTTGAAGCTCCCTCTCTTTTTTCCTTCATTCCATCTCTCCTTATCAGAATAACAATAACATAATAAGTAGCTTTATTTTTGTGTCCCTGTGAGAGAATTATGCTGTAAATAATCTCATTCTTCAACTCTTATCTATCTGCGTCATCCAGTGAAATTTACATTATGTGTGAGTTTGCCCCACTCTTCCTTTCCAGGACATGAACAGTACCTTGGAGAGTCTGCTGAAAGAAAAGCAGGTGGAGAAGAATAAGATAGAGCACAAAGAGGCTCTTATCAGAAAGCTGAACAAAGAAATCGCTTCCCAGCAAGAGAAAATTAACAGAGCCACAAAGCAGGTGTGATGATACCTGAACCACTCCTTTCTTAACTCTACAATTTACATACATACAATAACTCTGCTATTCTTTAATGTAAAATACTTGGAAATCAACCTGATTTGTTTTATGTTGTTTGGCAAAACCCAGTGTACGCTGTACACAATGTGCACTGGGAGTGAAGAGAAAATAAATGAGGAATTCTGTGTGTATAGACAGGTAGGCAGTTATCATAGTCATATTTCAATGTTGTATTGTCCTGCTGTTTGCTAGTGCTCTAAGCTGACCAAAGAGATCCGCTCAGCAAATAACACCAAGACTGAGACTTTTGAGGAGAAGGACATTAAACTGAAGGAGCTGAAAGAATTCAACAAGAGTATCGACAAGATGCTGACTGGGGCCATGGAGGACAAACCTGACCTCAGATCAGTGTTGGAGAGATACTTCCTGCAGGTGTGAAACAATAAACACTGCATTTTCTTTAAAAGAGTCATTAAGCATGAAGTCAGGACGGGCTGCGCTTTACTCTCGTCTCACTCTCATTCCCATACAGTTATTTATAGGATTGAGGTTAAAAGTTTCCCTAACGTTCATGTTTTTTCTGCTGTTTCTCTCAGGCCAATCTGTCTCTTCCACCCCCGTCTTCCACTCCTACCAGCCATCAGAGCTCCAGGACAAACTCTGCCCGCAGCTCCGCTACACTCAGGTCAGACCGCGTGACACGAGAAGGAGATAGTACTGGTTAGAGAAATAATGAGGGCTTGTTGTCAGATGGTCATTAGTTTGAACTATTGGACTGATCATAGGATTGTGCTCAAGGAAAATTATCTCTTTTGTCCATTGATTATAACCAGTGAGCTGAGAAAGACTGGTTGAAGTGCTCCATTCTCTGATAGTGAAGAATTCCTGAATAAGATATTCGCTCATCTTTGCCTGTATGAATAAAACTTGCATGTCAGCCTAGTTAGGTACCATTCAAGGTCTTTATGCTGTCTCTGTCTGTACTGTAGGTCTCCTGCGTCCTCAGCCAGCAGCAGTCCCAGGGCCTCTGCACTTCACTCCCCCGTACTGAAGACTGTGGAACTGGGCATGGATCTGACTGTGACCTCCCCTCCTCTTACCACCTCCAGACGTTCCAGCTCTGCGAGCAGCAGCAGCAGCAGCAGAAAGTTAAAGAACCCGTAGTGTGCTGCACCTCTTTCTGATGGCTGATTTATGGACACCTCTGCCAACAACAGAAAGAGGGTTATAGTTACTTAAAGTTAGTTGTAGTTGCACAGAATAACTGTTTCACAATACTAAAATGTTTTGTTTGTGTGTGGTGTCATTCTGTATTTTTGTGCATTAAAAAGACATTTCACTTTGTAGTTACGTATTATATTTATTCATAAAAATCAAATGTAGCCTAAAGGAAGACTTGATTATTATAAAAAAAGAGTTGATGTGCCCAGCAGTTGTTGAACGACAGACATTAGTTTGATAAAACTGTAAAAGATTGAACTTTTTCTTTTAATTTAAAGCAGCAATAACTTTTATTTTGTGTTGATTCTGGTGACTGAAATAGCCAGTCTTCTTACTGATGGTCTTGTGTGCTTATGTAGTCATGTAGAGGCATCAGTATTAAATTCACACTATTTAATAACCAGTTAAAAACCAGTTTGATAACAGAAACATGATCCTTTTTTGTTTCTTCCCTGTTCTTGTTTCAGTGGGTGTTTTTTGTCTTATAAATGTAACTTATTACAAGACATCTAAATAAAAAGAAGCAGAAAATCTTTGAGCTGTTGAGAATTTGCTGCCACAATAGGTTTGGTTACACATTTACAGAGAAGGGAATCATTTTTAGATGCTTGAGTGACTCCAAACTCATGCATTGTTATGTTTACTGCCACACCCTTAATGAATCTAGGTGTTGTTTCCTGGTATGAAACAAAAGTAACCAGAGACTCCGTGGGAACAGAGGGAACACTTTCTCACTACAGATTTTACTCCTTGTTTTTGGAATAAAGCTTCAACATGCTGCTGCTGATCCTGTTCGCTGGATTTTTGGCTTCTTGTGCCGCACAGACAAGTGAGTACACTAACAAAAATCATTGGAAAATTCAATGATTTAAATTAAATATGTAAAAATGTAAATTCATTGAGTTTGTAGAAAGAAGATCAGCTGATTGAAAGTGTGGTTTTATTGGAATTTTCCCCGAGACCCCTTTGCCATTGTTACTCCGGCGGCGGCAATCATTAATCCCCAGACACAGTCCGTCCAGCCATCCCCAGTCCTGCTAACATCTAATCCAGCAGACAATGGTAAATGCAATTTAATCTTGCAGAGTGTAATTCAACTTGAAGTTTAACATGGTTTATTTGATTTTGAATTTCATTATATATACCCCACAGTTGTGGCAATCCTTGCGACTGCTGTTCAGTCCTTTCAGGAGCTAAATGAAACGACAGTTGGTCCAGTCCTGAACAAGGTAACTCATTTACCTTGTTTGCTGTCTTCACAAATTTCCATTTAAGTCAATACAGGGTTTTATATCTAATACTGTCTTTTATTCTATTGATAAAACATTCATAATACCAATTCAGTACTGATTGTGCTCTGATATAATCTGTGCAATTTGATAACACACTGTCATTATTAACTGGACAGCAGTCACAGACCTGAATATGATAAGTTTTCAATTATTTCAGCTCTCAGAAATTCTCCGGGGGTTCCGACCTGATCTGAACTTCAGTCTAACAGTAAAGAACATCACCAAAGTCTGAAACCTCAACTCACATGTTTCTGTGTTTGATCACCGGTTAGAGAGAATAATATCCTTTACAATATTACCTGGATAAGGAGGATCCTCAGTGGAGTTTTGAATGAATATTACTTCTGAAAATTCAATATGTGTATTTTTGTTCCAAGGGTAAAAAAGGGAGTGGACTGATTCATTTGCAGTTATTAATTGCAGACTTATGTTATTTTAACACTACTTTCTTTATCAGAGTCAATCAAAAGATTTTTTTCGTCTTTGAAACATGCATAACTGAATTGAAGTATCCTACTGTACCACCACTGAGGATAAAATATGAGTCTTAATTGACTAAATTAAATTGAGCAAAGATATGTGATAACTACTGAATGAGCCCTAAACTCCACTGCACTGGACTGCTGCTGTAAATTGGTTGTCTGTCACTAGATTTCTGAGCTCAATCTGAAAAATATGTCTGAAAGCTGAGTGACATCATAGTGACAGCTGTGAAATTAGTAATGTAATGCATTACATCTTTTCTATTTAAAATGCATAAATGTAGAGACAGATTTACCAGTTCCCTATTACATGTCACTGAATTCACTGTTTTGTGCCCATTTCATTGCAAATTAAAAACTTTAGTTTTTTTTTAATCTTCAGTCAGAAATGATATATTGATATATTTAATCATCTTTTAATCACCAATAGTTATGTGTGACAACATTTTACAGTGACATTTTCACTAAAGGTACTTGATTACTGAGTTGTTGTAAAATTCAATAAAAATGGGTGGAAGAAATAAATCAGTAGCTTCATAATCAGACTGAATTCTCATTTCTCATTTCATTTCACTTGTTTGTGCCACTTGCATGTTGAAATGTGTGCAGTGATTCAGAGAGAAACCAGGCTATTTTTACTTTCCAGAAACACAGCAGTTGTCTTTTAGTGGGTTTTTTGTTGTTGTTGCATTAAGTCAACTTTGATGATTTAGATACTGATCATACTTTATTGAATTTCAAGAACTCTAGATCTGATTCTCTCACAGTCAGCGCCAGTCTCAATAAACTCATGGCCGGAAGAAAACAACCGACAGACCTGACAAACCGAAGGTTATCATAAGTGACAGTATAACCGGTTTCAATGCCGGGCATGGCAACAATTTGCAGAAGATAAAGACTTTGAGCATGAATTACACCCAGCCTACACCTAAACTATCACTCATTGAAATCTAAATAGTGAGATAGTTTAGATTAGATAGAGCAGGAAGTGTACATCAGAGACATAGCAGCTGTTTATAAGGAAGGACTGCAGTCTAAAAGCAGAGACTGAGGGGATAAAAAGAAGATAAAGTTACAGATGACAAGTTGGACAATGAGGAAGACTCAAAAGAAGAAAAGTCAAATCCTCAGTGTGCTCAAAGGTCAGCAGATTTGTGTGACAAGAAAATAAAACAGCATGTTTGTAGGCCTATGTGTGAAACAAATGGTTTCAGTAAAAGATTATAATGTGAAAGGGTCTGGGCAATGTCTTGTTGTGGTTTGCCTACAAAGACAGGTACATACGTGTAATTATCCACATGATAATTATAATAAAATTAAAGAATTATGATGGATTTTTTCAAAAGGATGTAAATCTGTTTGTTGATACCTTGAAATATTCTTGCTGCAGTTCCACTTTCAGCTACAGGGGGGCAACACAGGCAGAAGACAAAGGCTTTGAGATTGGCCTGTAAACCTCCTCTACTCATGTTGCTCACATTGTTACCAACCAAAACCTAAAAATGCCTTTTCTTTTCTTTAGTTTTTAATAATACGCCTCAGTAATGTCTATTTACAGATACAAACAAATCCTGTCTGTGAGCTCAGTCGTAGTAAAATGTCATACTCGGTGACAAATGATGTTTCGTGTGAAGCAGAATCAATGTCATGGTATTAAAACAACAACATAAACCGAGTGTAGTGAGAACAGATGATGTCCAGTGTGGTGTCAGTGCTGCTGCTCTCTGAAAACATTATTGCTCCTCTATTATAGTACCACAGGCTCAGACATCCTCTCATTTAGTCCCATCAGGTTAAAAAAAAAACACTGAATAACTACCTTTCCTGTGATGCAAAAAATATCTGTTTATCAGACTGTTGCTGCCACTTTATAACCCAGGTTTTCTCTTAAAAGTGGTCTCAAAGCTCAGATCATCATTATTTCATTGGACACAAAGGTCCTCCCAGGTTTTACAGCAGTTTTACTTCAGTCCCCCCTCCAGGCATCTGAGGTCTGTCACATGATCTTCAGTAATCAGTTCATATGCACATGCAAAGTGTGGAAATTGAGTTGCATGAACATATTCATTAAAACAGAGCCCATGTCTTTCTGCTCCTGCTGAAGACTCTATTTCTATTTCTGGTTCTACTTTTCTAGTTTCTGACTATGTGACTTTTGTTCCAGTGTCATATAACTGTAATAATCGACCAACCAACAACAACCTGCAAATCAGAACATTTCTGGAAAAGTTAATGGGACTGATTTATTATTATAATGTGCATATGTCTCTGTTAGTAGTCTTTGGCAACCATGAAGCATCTTTACGATTTTAAGTGCCTGAAAACTTGGTTTCAAATGTCAAAGCTGCTGTAATATTTATTTCATATTAAAAATGTATCACCCGTAGAGAACCTCTCATCTCCCCTCACCTCTACAGAGCGAGTTAGCGTCTGGTTTTGGTGGTATGGCCACAACTTTACTGTTTTGGTTCACTCTCAGTCCTCTTGTTTCATTTTTGGCTGCAGCTGGCAGCTATTTTCAGCAAAAAACGCCACTGTACACCTCCTGCGCAGCAGTTAGCGATTAGCTGTTAAAGTTAAAAGATGAGTAAATACAGGACTTACATTCTTAGACCCAAACACAACTCCAATGGATGATAATGTTAAATAGGTATCTGTGAATGTGTAACACATACATTATCATTTTAAAAGGTGATATAGGTCAGTGTTAATATTGTTTCTGCTGCCCCCAGTTGGTAACAAAATTTCTTATTACTGCTTTAAAGGTCCAAATAGTTTAACTGATTGAATGTAGACCACTGTTAGAGACTCTAAGGAGAGGCTTCTTTCAACGCACTGATTCTACACATGCTCACAACACATTGTCAACTACAGAGCGTCTTTAAGGTTAACAGTAAAAAAAAATTCATTTTCATGTTCTACATAACTGCGCACTCAACAGACTGACCCAATTATTCTTTTGACATTTCTTCAGTGGAGCCCCCATGAAAACTGTTCACAGTGTGTAACAGGGGGACTGTTTGTAAAAAGAAATCTTGTTGTTGATGATATTGTTTAAAGTTCCAGGTCTCTGCAAGTTTCAAGCTGTCCTCAATGGAAAGCAATGGCTGTTAAAGGTATGAAATCCATCTAAAAATTTCTACCATGCTTTGAAAAGTATTCAGACACACAGTCCACAGTGAAAGGGCTTAAACTTTCACAATTACCCCGTCCTTCAATGTAATAAAAACAATGCTGAGTCTAATTGTTGTATAACTCTCACTCTGTGTGTTACTTCTGCTGGGCTGATATCTCCAGTTTCTTCCACTCTCTCCCATGCTGTTGTCCGTGTTAATCAATGTTGTACTGTTCTCCTCTTTTCCAGTTTTCCACATGACCCGTGATGTGCTGCCCTTTTAAGCCCTTGGAGTCGATCAAGCCAACATTCAGAAGACGTCCACACACTTGACCACATACTGGACACAGGCCTGATCTTCCTGCCTTCAGTATGGACCTGAGATTCCTCTTCATAGCTTCAGCTCTCCTTCTGGGGGCCACACTCACCATCTCACTGGCAGACCGCACCTCACAGTGCAAAGTCAAATGGTAATGTAGAATTTTAATTTTTTAGAGTATTTGTGCATAGTCAGCAATGAGAGAAATTAGAGATTTAAAGAGCAAGTGTTGAACTGAAGTATACTGTGGGTACTTGAGGGAATCTTTGAGTGAATTCTCTATTTACTGAAACTATTTTATTCTGCAGATGTTAATGTTCACAGAGCAGATGCTACATCTTGGACCAGCGGGACATAAATAATGCATTATGATGGTGTTTGGGTTGCATGAAATCCAGTGCAAAAGGGTCAAGTGAATGTTAGACAAGTTACTTATGAATTCAAAATTCTGTGCAGCCTGATTCCTCATGCATGTTATCTTGGACATGGAGCGACTGCAGGACTCACAAGACTCACATTAGTCATACCTGCGCAGAGAAATAGAAAGTTGTGCTGATTTACAGAATCTAAAGTGAGAGTCTCTTTTCTGATACGTAAAGTATTTTATTAATAATAAATTCAAACACTACATGAGCCTTTAACTATATCTGACAGTAACACATCTAACCTTGCTGCTCTGCTCTGCAGGTTGTTTGACATCTCGTGCCAAGATGTCTATGAAAAGCTGGTGAGCCAGATCAAGGCCTGGCAGATCAGACAAAGCTGTCTATATGAAGGAGAGAAGTGTTCATACGAGGTCAGAAACATCTCCGTCAACTAATACATTGTTGAATTATAATAAATAATAAATTAATACCTGCAAAAATAACCTTTTGAAATAAACAATGTACATTGTCTTTCATTCAAAGGTTTTAGATAGACCATAATTACTTTTTTAATCAAATATATTTGATTTTATATTTTTCCTTTAATATGTAAACATGCATCAGATATAAGAAAACATTGTACCATTTCTGGTTAACATCCCTTATTTGGAACTAATAAGTTGTATATAAACATAAATATAAATGGTTAATAATGTATTTGTAAGCAGTTATAGGTGTTTATTAATGTATTTATCAACAACTATATATGTTGTTACAATATACAATATGTATTTATAGGAGAAGTTACAATCTGTGAAATAAATGAGTTATTTCATAGATCCTTCGAACAATTAACAGAAACAAAATAATTTATCTACATATGACACCAAGATATTAAACAAGAAGATATATGCAAACTTAAACATGCAACTGCAGGTAAGTGGATGATGTAATGATCAGTCGTACCTGATGTACAGTGTAGAGAATATCCTTGTTTCTAATATTGACCAACTGAGCTTGAAATGTGCAGCATGCTATGTTTCCTGTCAGACTTGACTGAATTTGAAATGTGCTGCAGCTTGTGTCGACAGCTCCTTATCTGATCACAGCCACGCACACGTCTCCAACAACCAAAAAAGTGAGCGACCTACAGTTTCTTCTGGAGCAGTCCACCGTTTGCAAAATGACTGTGAGTGCTTTTTTTTTTTAGAGTAAACTGACTGATGCAGCTCTGAACTGTGTCTTCAATTAGCATTATTGGACTCACAAAAAACTTTGTTCAAGACCACAGGACCTCATGTAATTCATTTGACTTTGATTAAATGTTAAAACAAGAAAATGTGTATGCATCTCAGAGGAAAGTTAAAGAGGAATCTAAGAGTTGAGAGGGTTAATCAGCTTTTGTCACTGACATTCCTCTTTGACTGTCTCCTGATGTTTCTGACGTGCAGGGAGAGGCAGTGTCTGAGTTCACCAAAGATCCAGCTGAAAACAGCACAAACTACTGCAGCCTCCAGAACCTGATGGACGGTAAATATCTTTAGCTCAGAGAACTATAACACCATGACAGTGGACTTTCTCTGGGTGCTTCCTAGAGTGCAGACTATCGTTAGTTTGCCTATGTCAGTGTTTTAATCCATAAAAAGCCATGATAATGAATATCTGTGTTCTCTGTACAGGAAGCAACCTGATCAGTGCTGAGGGATACAAACAGTTCAGCAACAAGTGGATCTGTCCTGGCTTCGATACAGCCAACTGCACCTTGTCTTCACTTATCTAACTGGTTCTTAACAGTGTGTTTTTCCTGCTGTTTTCTTCCCATGTGCATCATTAAGATCTGTATTAATAGCTGCTATAGTTATATAGTTAAATAGCTGGAAAAACTGCTTTGTTATAGCATTGTAAAATGACTTAATTCAGTATTCTAGTGTTTTCTCTAAAACCAGTTGTTTGTTTTACATGAATGCAACAATATTAAACTGCAGGACTTGCTGTATTTAAGTATTGTTTGAATTAAAAGTCTTTACAATAAATGGATTAGATAAATGTGGGAAATATAGCTTTTTGGATGTCAGTCAAATGTGACAATGAGGTTTCATCATTCAACAGTTCATTTTTAATTTGAATTCAAATCTATTTGACTAATTATACATTTGCAAATGTTTTCAAGATTTTGTGAATGTGAACAGTGACTTTTATAAAATGGTACTTTGACCACTGGAGCAGCAGCACAGTAGAGAATGAAATAATAGGACACATAAAAAAAACACATATATAGTATTCACAACACGATGAATGTAAGTGTGTCTAAAATGGATACGCTCAAGTCAAGGTAAATGCCTAAAACTACATGTTTACATAATAGAACTGCGGACTGTACTGATACATAACCTATAAATTAGTGTTAATTAGAGTAATGCAATGTAATGGTTGATGGTTTAATTTGAAAAAAGAAGGGGAGACAGAAAATCAGCACTAAGCTAGAATAAAAATTGATTCTGAAAGTGTTTCAAGTTCAAAGTGTATTAATTACTGACTTTGGTCAGTTTGACATTTAAACATAGAAAAAGTCATCAAGAAAATGATACATGTGATTTAATCCAACTGTTTTAAAAAAATATTCAACTGAACTGGAAAAGCTTAAAAGGAAAGTTTAACCTTTATTTTACACATTATCTGGATGTTTTCCAATAAATACAAGGAACAAAAACAGAGCTCCCCCTTGTGGAGAGGCTGCTAAATGAGTGAGTTTGTGAGTGAGTTATAACTAAGTAGCAGGAAGTCTTTTGCCTATAAAACCTACTCTGAAATAACAAGTCAGTGCAAACGTAGCATGACCCAGTGCCTGCAGACCAACCAGATCAGTCAGATCAGCCAGTGTAATGTCTGTAGGTTGTGGTTTAATGAGAATCATTAAAATGGTCTAAATAAATTCTTACTTAACAGCAGAAACACTGAAATACACTCAAGGTGATTATGAAGTTATATTTATGAAACATGCTGCTCAGAAACCAATCCTAGAATATTGGTTGAAATGGACTATTTGATCGTGTTTGATTTGTTATTCACATATAAATATGGAATCTACCGTATGAATTAGTTGATAAGAGCATTAGACATACTTATTGAAGATGATCAAGTGTAATCAGTTTACATCTTCACACAAATCTACAAAATAAAATGTGGGCTACATATTTTTTCTATAGTTTTATTAAATCCTCATAGAAGACATTCCTTAATCTCTGTAGAAAAGTAGCATTTTTGGAAGAAAGCAACAGTTTGCAGTTTCTGTGGCCCGCTCCTTCGTTGTGAGTCATTTGAGCTGGCAGGAGTAATCCTTACAAAGGCTGTGAGCCTGCATCTCGTCACTCTGTCCATGAAAGGCCTTGTTTTTCTGCGTTCGGGGAGCATGAACGTCAACACTCGGACAGGACTGAGGCCTCCAGCAGAAAGCTGGCTGCTGAGTGACGGGGTTTTGTCTGCAACTCACTGAGTTTTACCGCCTGCTTGCGCGTCCGTCTCAGTGTCGAATTCAGTCAGGCAGCAGTAGAGCAGCATCTGGGTGAATCTGGTGGCAAAGGCTAGAAGAAGGAAGATGTGGGAGGGATAGGAAAAGAAAGAGGTAGTGGAGAGGTCAGTTACAGTAGATTCTGATAATCCAAGATGATTAATGTTGTATTGCAAAGTCACTTCCTCTTCACATGTTTGAACATGTCAAACACAGAGCAGTATATAACTAATTAACTAACTATACAGACTCTTAAATAAAATGAAAACACACATATTACTGTACTCAAACATTACATTTTCTGTACATGGACATTGGAGCCTAAAACATACCGTTCAGCTTGTGTATGAATTTGGGCCTCCTCTCCTTAGGCAGGTAAATGGCCACATAATAGACCGGCACTCCTGACAGTGCAATGCCAATTCCTATGAGAGAATTGATGGTGTCCCAATACAGAGGGACAATGACTAAGAACAGGCTGCACAGACAGTAGATGAAGGGGAAGAACAAGGTCAACTGTGGAGAGAAAAAGACACAACTCTGGTTAGTTTGTAAAACTGATGTCTTGTGTCAAATGTCTTCGCACGCAGACTGAGGATGCACATTTGCATATTGCACTTAAGTGTGGACAACATCTAACTGTGTCATTTGCTTTACAACTGTAACATACTGTATATACTTTTAACGCTTTTATACACTATATTACTGTACAGCCCACCTACACACTGGTTACACACACACATTTTAATACTTATATTGCCTATATTTATAAGTCTTATCCTTTATATTTATTTTTCTATCTCTAGTTGAACTGTTATTCTAATTATTCAAGTTCAGTGAGTTAAAGGTAACACAGGAGCTGTAGTATTGTGCACGTATGCACATATACAATGTAATGTAGGTATGCAATTATATATTCAGCATGAATCTCAACAAAGCAGCACCTTCACAGGCCTATGTCTGTCTGGCTGAGTGATGCGCAGGTAGATGAGGCCGGCCACAGACAGACCCACATAGAGCCAGTAACTGAAGCTGAAATAGTTGATGAGCTGGAACACGTCCTCCACACACAGGAAGATCAGACCCATTAACCCCTGCAGCCACGCAGCACAACGAAAAAGTGACTTATTACACAGTCAGAACATGTATTCATATATTTATCAGTTCCTGCACATTGGTCCATTGTTTACGTGTATGCATGTGAGTAATCTGATGTTCATTTGTAGTTCGGAGTAAGGTAAGCGGTCCTCACATTGAACAGCAGTGCAGGTATAGGTGTGTAGCGCTCCATGTGAATCAGACTCAGACTGTCGGGGAGGTGGCCCTCTCTGGCCCCGACGAAAAACAACCTGCGTGATCAACAAAGATGGTTATTGGTATGGCACTCAAATGTGAGTGTAAAGTCAGCACCTGTGCAGTAATTCCTGATTACCGCGAGGCAGCAATGATAGAAGCATTGAGTCCTCCGTAGCAGGACATGGCCACTGAAACAGGGATGATCCACTTGAAAGGACCCAGCACTGCATTTCCAAATGTCTGCAGGGTCAAATTAACATGGGTTATTACAAACTCTCCGCACTCTGGGCAAAGAGGTCAGTCTATCAGTGGTTCAGACCATTATAATGTCCACATTTCATTCACTCACTTCATGCAAGCAACTTCTACTCTAGTTTCTGAAGTCAGACTGCAATGTCTCAGGTCAACCCTTTCTAAGCAGAGCAGGACTATATTTAGCAGCAGAGTGACTTATCTCTAACTGTTGACTGTTGGTGTCTTACCACAGCGACAGCGTCACTGGCCAGTAGAGACGGCATGTCCAGAACCACATAGTACGCCACGTTGGTCAGCAGGTAAATGATGGTCACTATAGGCATGGAAACGGCAATGGCCAGGGGTAGATTCCTACAACAACAACAACACACAGCGGTTAATGACTCACTGAAAACCTGCAGTAAACACAATACACATGGTTCATGTCATGATATTTATTCAAGTTGCAGTTTCAACCTCCACGGCCAATTTCTCTTTCCAACTCATCCATTTCTCTGCCTTTCACTTACTTCCTCATTCAAAATTTCTAGCATCGTCAATCACAGTCACGTGCCTGTAAACAACATAGTGAAACACAACTAGCTAATCGTGATCCTGTGACTCAGTTTCACCTACAGCTCATAGAGAGGCTTTTATTGTTTTACCTGTCTGGATTCTGAATCTCCTCAGTGACAAAGTTGAGTGTATCCCAGCCGGAGTAGGAGAAGAGAGCTGAGTAGAGGGCCAAAGCTATGGCTCCAGGATCTGTGGAGGAGCCCTCAAATGGGCTCTCGAAGCTCTTTGTTGCTCCTACACAAGAAGTGAGAAGTTTAAAGCACATTGTGTAAATTTATCGTGTTTCCTCTGATGCATTTGTACTTTTATGTTATCTTACCAGAGGATATTTTCAGGATTCCTACAATGATGACGAGGAAGAGTGCCATGAGTTTGGCATAAGTGAAAATGTCCTGGACCAGAGTCCCCCACTTCACATAGGCACAGTTAATGAAGATGAGTATACCTAGACAAACCAGAGGAATAAGGAAATGAATGAACCTTCCTCTTCATGATTCAGATGTTAATATATGCAAATGAGGCCTAATACAGCTTCTAGTACAGCTTCTGCTTTCTTTATTGGTGGTATTTGCACAGCAGACAAAAAGAAATCATTTAGAAACAATGGTAAACCATGTTGGTCAGTCTGAGAACTCATTTTGAAACAAGCCGAAGCCTGCTATCTCTCAGCCTCATGCCCAGGATCACTGACCATCTTTTCTGTATCACGAGGTCCACATTCAGTATGAGGGTACAGAAACAGAAACTTCATGACTCCTGGCATTGCTGCTCTCTAACCTAAATACCACTTCTGCTAACTATATTCTTCACAGCACAAAAGCTGGCTGTAAACCACGGTGGTATTTTTACAGGACTGGACAGGCAGTCTAACTATAGCTAATGCCAGTTCCACACACACATACATACACACACACATGCCCATGTCATCCTTAATAGGTAGTACTAAAGCTCTATTTCCTGTGTATGCTTCACAATAAAAACCACCCAGTTAAAGGGTTTTTTGGGGGAGTTTTTCCTTATTCAAATTGAGGGTTTAAGCACAGAGGGTGTAGTATTGTAAAGTAAAATGATATCGTTGTGAAGCTCAGTGTGGTGAGCCGTCGCCAACTTGGCAGTCCTGATTCTACTGGCTCCCGGTTGATCCAAAAATGGGGAAAGCCGTAGAGTGGGAGTGGAAGTGAGGCGTGCTGAATGAAGCTGCCTGTGACGGCACCCACCTGTCACTCAAAGTGGCCATTCCCTTAATTATGCATAACTTTTATCTTTAATATAATCTGAGCGGGTGAGTTCAATAAGAATTCAACCCACTTACAGTTGTCATGAACATGGAGCTATAAAGGCTGAAACCGTTTTTTGTACCAAGCTGTAAACATGTTTGTTTCTGCTGTGAAGTTGGGCATTTTAATATGGGGCCAGCCTCAAGTGGCCGTTCAAGGAACTGCAGTTTTTGTCACTTGTTGGCAGGTTAGCTTCTTTTGCCATAAAGGTTAAATTAAATGCCTATTGCTAAAAAAAAAAGATAAATAATATAAAAACTGCTGTTTGATTGAATGAAACTCTTTGGAATTGTAAGTTAAGTGCTTTGTCTCAGTCTTTCTCTATGTGCAGCAGGAACTGGGGTGAGGCCTAAGTGGGCATCAGTGTGAACCTTTCAAACACTAGAAGGTAGTAAAGTGAGTTTTTCCGCCTGTATTTTCCACAGACTTTTATATTTCACAGTAGATGATTCACATTTATGGATAAAAGAACCCAACCTAGAGTTTATACTGTTACACTGTTACACTATCAGTCACAGTCTAATTCTTGCTATCTGTATGCTGAAGCTCATCTCACTCATTCAGACACAGGAGTGTTTCTTACAGAGGCAGGCTGCAGCAATAAGCCGGACAGAATCGTATGGTGCCTGGCAGGTGGGGTAGAAAGCCTCCACCAGGTAGTTGGCGAAGGTCAGTGAAATCACAGCCTGGCTGGCCGGCTCTATAAGTAGGATGGACGTCCACAGGCGGATGAAAGCCAGGAAGCCTCCAAACGACTCCAGGATGTAGGCGTAGCTGGCTCCAGACTTGGTGATGGTGGTGCCGAGCTCTGCGTAGCACAAAGCCCCAAACACTGAGAAGATGCCTCCAATGGCCCAAATGAGCAACGACAGTCCGTAAGAGCCACTGTGCATAAGTACGCCCTTCGGTGAGACGAAGATCCCAGAGCCAATCATGTTGCCGACAATGAGGCAGATTCCATTCATGAGGGAGATTTCTCTCTTCATTTGCATTTTCTCTTCTTTCCCATTATTTGGGGCCTTTAAGTCCTCGTCAGACGGAGCCCGTGAACTAGGGCATATTGTCTGTGACATGACCCCCATCTTCTGCCTTAGATCCCCCATTAGTCCAGTGCTGATGTTGAGATGAAAGGGCATAAATTAAAGGGGATTATTCCAATTTCACGTTCAAAACACACAGTTGTTCCATATAAATATGACATGATTTGTTAAATATACTTTAATGTCTAACCACACATCTTAAGACTGAAAGATAAAAACTAAATGGCTACCAGTGTTAAGTAAACAAGAAGAAAAGGTCATGCATGTGTCCATATCTCCCAGTAACATTTGTCCCCATAGTCCACTCTTTATGCATCCAGGCAGGAACAAAACATACTTAAGGTGTAGATATTTATGACATGAAAAGCAAATGTGTAAAAAGTACAAAAAGTGAGCTTACTTTATTTTTCTACTCAGAGAAGACCAACAGGTGTATTTGTTTGTCTGACATGTAGTCTTCCTCAGCTCTCAAGTGAGACATTGGTGAGATCACATCTGAGTGGTAGCAACAGGACGGTTGATGTTGCAATCCCTGCAGCCCAGCACAACCACAATGAGTGTTTTTCCAGCACCAGGCGAACTGCACTCTCGTGTTCCCCCCCATGCTATTTTTAGAGACAAGCAGACCTCGTCCCTGCCCCCAGGGAGCCAAGACAGAGGGAGTGGAGCCAAGCTGCTTCTGGGTCAACATACAGGACACAGTATGTAGACTGTATGATAGTGAATATAATGTGATGTATACTGTCATTAAAGAATATTTTGATGCACTGTAATTGTCCCAACAGCTGCTTCTCTATTACTCACTCAGACAGGTTGCTAAACACATTCTGATTATGAGACAATGGGCCTCCTCCACCCCTCCTACACAGGAGCAAGACACCCAGATTGAAAGAGACAAACAACTTCTTGTTAAATTTCTTTTTTTGTGGTCCTTTCTAATGTCTTTGTGGTTCTTTTGCTTTATTTTGAGGTAATAAAAAGGGTATCTGAGCATATTAGGAAGCACAGCTAGAGGAGAAAAAGTCAAGAGTGACAAACTGAGCAGAGTGACGGTTTTAACTTTACTTTCTACAGAAGGTTGAGCTGAGTATGATCAAAAATGTGAAATTCATTTTTCAATTGTAGCTAGAGTCGATGGATAAACTTTAAATGTGCAAGATCCAGTTAGTCTGAAGTGTTATTAAGAATACTGAGAGGTGAGGCCACTATTGAGGAGACCAAAAGAAATCAGAGGGCACATTACTTTGGTCCACTTTGAATCTAGACAGACATGCAGACACACACGCATCCCACTCATTCTGCTTGTTATATTACAATCTCAACTTCCTCTTTACTCTACGTCCCAGTGATTCTCTGATACTTGCTCAGCAGTAAAAAAAGCAGAGGGAAAAAAAAACTTTCCATGATCACATGAACACAGTCTACCAAAATCCCAACTCATAGACCACATAGTTAGATTGCTATCAATAGCTCTGAAGTCATCCTTGCACAACACTTGTCTGTACATTGTCTCACTTAATGTAAGTCATTTGCTTCAATACAAAGACTTTATGCGCGTTTACCAGTCTAACAGTCCTCCTGTCACTTACTCAGATCAACTGAGTGTATTGAGGATGTTTGCATTCTACAAATAAGGCTTCACTCTCTCTCTCTCTCTCACACACACACACACACACACGCGCACAGACGCACACACACACAGGGCTACATAATTGTGTTTTTTTAGAGAATGGTAACTGAGCTTTGCAGACAAAAGCATAATGTACCAAACAGAGAGAGGAGAGAGACCCTGCATTCACTCAAAATGAATGAATGAATGGGACTATAAATAAATCACCTCAGTAAATCCACAACATTGTTAAATAAATTCACTGATTCAGTCAAAATCTTTTGATTCTGATTATACAGAAAAAAACTTGATGTTGATGAGTGGAATTTAACTTCAAAGCCATTAGTTTTGTACCTGTGACTCTTTTTGCTCAACCAGCTGTTCCTTAGTCTCACTGAGGGAAAGACGAATGAGAACCTTGTTGACCATCCTGATGACAACAGAACAGTAAGTGTAGTGTAAAGTTGGTCTATAAGTCTATAATCTGGATTAATAATTACTGCTAAGTGATCCTGGGGATATTGTAGGACATGGAAAGCGGCGGTGCGCTGGGCTGCAGGGCTGTGGTAGGGGAGCTGATTTCAGCTGGGTACGGCTGCAGGCCCATCTGCTTGTTGTCATGCAGCTTGCGGACGACGATGCGGCAGAAGTCTTCGTTGTGCCGGTGACAGTTGTCCAGGAGCCGTCGGACCTTGGCGGTGCGCGTGGCCTGGTTTATCACCAGTTCATAATCCTCTCGCATCAGCATGGAGCGGGAAAGCAGGGCGTCCAAGCTCTGGTTCAGACAGGCCTCTGTCATCTGGGAGATGATATCCTCGCGCCGCGTCGCAATCCACTGGGCGATCGGGCCTTGTAAGGGAGGGGAGTGCTGTAAGGGAGGAGACTGCCGCAAGGGAGGAGAGTAATCTGCCACAAGTGAGGAGGGAGAGGTGTGATCAGTTTTAAATATTAGCATTTGAGAAATATATTATCATCATCATCACCCGTTTCATCCATTATGCTTTAACTGCTAATACCTTGTTGCTGAGGCTGCGGCTTCAGGGTAACGTTATTCAGCCGTGTCTCGTAATCAGTGACGTGCTGGCCTGTTTCGATGGTTTTGTTCAAATCATTCATGGGTCTGGCAATCTGGCCGTTCAGATTGTTGTGATCCTTCAAAGACTCAGGAGGCTCCAGAGTATGAGCTAAGAATGACGCTGGAAGCCCCTCTACATCAGAAAGAGTAGAAGAAGAGGTGTGATGTACCCACATGGAAAACAAAGCTTATATTATATACATAATACATTTTTACCTAAAACCTGATGTGTGCTTTGTTTCATATCTGAACTCATCTATGCTCTTATGATCTAGTCATGCAATGCATTAAAATGTTTTATTTTAGAAGAAATACTCTCTCAGCAGTATTATACCAATATAAAGTTCTGTTACAATTACCTTTAGAGGGTGCCACATTGCTGACAGTGAGGGGGCCTGGTAGGGATATGTCTGTGTCCTGGGAGGAACAAGAGCCAGAGCCTGAGGTGGAGCTCTCCTGTGGCAGAACAGTGATGTTTAATTTACATTTCCACACAGACATTAAAGGTCCAGTGTGTAGGATTTAGTGGCATCTCCCTCACTTTACCCTCCCCTTGCAAGCGCAAAGGAGAAATTGTGATGGCTGCTATACACCCTATCTAGAGCCAGTGTTTGGTTTGTCTTTTCAGAGCTACTGCAAAAACATGGCAGACTCCATGGATGTCAATATAAAAGACTCATTCTAAGATAACAAAACGATAATGATTCTAGTTTTCAGGATATTATACACTAATGAAAGCACAAGTATGAATATTATATATTATTTCTGCCAACAGATTCTCCATGTTACACACTGGACCTTTGATAACACCAACACAAAACCACACAAGGCTTAAATGTAGAAGTGCATCCCCAATTATCACTGTTCATGTTTTAGACTTTGTCCTGATTTTTCCAGACATTTCAGCTACCTACCGGCCAAGGGCTGTGCCTGTCCTTTAGCATGTTCAAGGGTCCCTCCCCACTCCTCTTCTCACACATTGACTGGGCTGAACAACAGCCTGATCCCCGCCTTAACTGAGGAGGAAGACAAGGAAAAGACAGGAATGAGTCATACTGACAGTGAAGATAAGTAGGGAAAAATAAAATGTTAAGAAAGTGTTTAATCAAATATGCCAAAGCCAAAAAACACAAATTTACAAACCCTCAAATACAAGAAAACACTGACCGCACAACACACAAGTGAACGTATTCTTTAGATTTACAAAAGCAGAAGGAATGACTAAACTAAGTCAAACAGCTTGTGGAGGTGGTTTCATGTATCCGACCACACTAAAATATTCACTCCACTAGTTCCTACATTTTGCCTTGCTGGCTTCAAGTGTTGCTCGTACTGAAGGGCCCTCCTGTATATCTGAATATAAAGCTATACACCAAAGACCAGTACACAAAAGCTATTCTATCAGCTATAAGTAATACGTCAAGACTATTTATTACTAGCATAAACAATTAAAACACAACAAGAAGGTGCTATTACTCCCAAATTGACTGACAGGTGTTTTAATACAGTGGTAAACTGGACTTTGGGGACCAACAGAGAGTGGGTTGTAATTTATAGTGATCCAAGTTTGATCATTGAAGACTTTATAATCTTGAAACCTAAAAATAGAAAATTTGCTCAGAAGGGATTCCTTAAAATAAAATCATCTCAAATTAGGGGGTCTGTGCTCTAATGTGAAACGTCTCATACATACAAGCACTACAAAATAACACACAATACACCCCAACTTAATATTAATATTAATGTTTTCCATTGTCGTTTAAGGCTTGTTTCCATCAGTAATGTTTGTAAACAAGAAAAAAATGCAACTATATTTTTAACTATGATCAGCTGAGAGTTGTACTTACAGAGTATGGTAACAACTTACAACTAACAGTTTTAAGTACTGAAACTGGAAACCGTAGTCTCACTCACGTGCACACACACACACACACACACACACACACACACACACACACCAAGAAAAGAGGAAGGATATGTTCAGGGGAAATTATGAAGTGAACATTTTGACCGGTCATCCTCTCTTAGTCACAGCACAATTAAAATTGTCCCAAATTACACAAAGTTAACATGTGACCTTCATATTGAGTATTTAGCATTAGCTGTGAAGTAACAATGTATTTAGGAACAGGGAGATTCCTTTCTTCATCTATATAGAGTTTATTATTACCTAACACCACCGAGACAAGGTCCTCAGGCGGTGTAATAATCATCGTTTCTAGGGAAAACCAACTAAGAATGTGGGTTTTGTTTTCTTTGTTCAGTTCTGTTCACTTACAGAAATACACACGTTTACTGCTTTGAGGAAGTTAACATGTGGAGCTGTAGGGAACACCTACAGTATAAGCCGAGAGATAAAACTGCTTCTGTAATGTGAGGTGGTAAATTAGTAAGTGAAGAGGAACTGGTTGTTTGTTTACCAAGTAAAACCCTCGCTGGTCTTCTGGCTTTTTCTCCTTCTAAAAAAAACATGTTGTTTTGAATGTTGGTCAAATATCCCTTCGTGTCCCTTTTGCGCATGCGTTGGTGTTGTCTGCCAGAATCTGTCATGAACAGACTTTTTCCAGTTTTAAGGCTGGATTTTTGATACACTTTTTAGATCTTCGGTGTTCATTTTTAACTACATATTTTAACTGGATGAAGGACTTTAGTCACTGGATCTTAAGGTATCAGAGAAACGGGCTGAGCTAATGTTAGCGGCAGTCACAACACTTCATGGTGTCCTTTGTCCACCAAAACAAACAAACCAGCCACTGAAACACGTTTTTAAAGGTGAAACTGCTTTATTCAGTGTTTTTAGTGGTTTTAATCAGTGGGTCTGTTTGTTTTGGAGAGGAGGAG